AGGTCTGTTTAAAAACAAGGTGACAAAGAAGGTATTCCTATTACTATTAAATTTCAGATCAGATTGCCTATCTAAATCAGAAATCATTTTCATTAACAAAGATCACAAAAGTATAGCATTATTAAGGCCATAACTCAATACATCATCTATATCCCCAGATCTAGTAGCTGCACACCTGGATTTAAAGTGTCCTAAGCTGCATTGCCAGAGGCATTTCCAGAAGTAATCCTGTTAAATGAAAAAAAAGACCTTTCATGAGGGATGCTGAACCATTTCTGTTCCCACTTCAAACACTCTCTGACTTAATCTCCAAAAACAGCTTTCTCAGATAAATTGTCCAGCACTACATTGAGTTCTTGGCTTGTTTTAAAAAAATCTGCAGATTCTTTCATGAGGTCATTTTTTCCAGCTTAAATATCTACTTTGCTTTAAAAATCTATTTTCTTCCTTTTTCAAAAAGCTCATACCAGGAATTAAAATTGGATCACATTTAGCAAGCTACATCATACATCTGGAGTGAATTCCAGAGCATTAATGTCGTGGTATGTTAGAGCAAAGACTGTCAAGTCTAATTTTACAGACCTGCTAAAACTGAAAGGACAGTCTGGACAGCCAACAGTTTGATTCCTGAGCTGAGGTTTGTTTTCTAAACTTGCTCTGAAAGTCAGAGGAGAAAGGCAGAAAAGCCTGCAACATGGTCCTGTTTGAGTAGTTTGATGCTACATTGATAGGCAACGTCTTCATCATCTATGCTATAGGATCTTAGACGTTAGAGTTGGAAGAGGCTGGATGACTGGAATCCAGTTGCTTACCCAGTACTTACACCTCTTCTACATCATTCTAGACAGATGATCATATCTAGTATTGAACTACTTGTAATAATAATTATATTTACCTTGTAAATTAATAAGTTGATATTCCAATTTCATGTATTAGTCTCTATGTATCTAATATTACTAGAATTCACTGCTGAAGCCATGTGGACTTGGAATTTTCTTGTGGGAAGATTGGTAAATTCAATTTCTTTATTAAATATAGAGCTATTCATATTTTCCATTTCACCTCGGGTCCATTAAGTTGTTCTTCAAGAAATGTGTCCTTTTCATTTAAGTTGCTCTATTTATTGGTATAAAATTGTTGCATAGTAGGCTCTTACCTTTTAAATGTAAGTAATGTAGCATATAGTAATATATCCTTTCCTTGCTGATATTTGTGATTTATATTCTCTTGAACAATCTAAATAGCAGTTTATCAATTTCACTGATATTTTGAAGAAACTTTTGACTTTTTTAATTTTCTCTATTTGATTTCTGTTGCATTGATTTCTCCTCATTTCCTTCCTTCTACATAGTTTGGTTTTACTTTGTTCATCTTTTTCTAGCTTTTAAATTGGAAGCTTAGATCCTTCATTTAAACCCTTCTTATTTTCCAGTATAGCATAAAAAGCTATAAATTTCTTCCTCTAAGCACTATTTTACAGCTGCATCCTACAATTTTTTAATGCTTTATTGAGGTGTAATTGATATAAAATGCACATATATAAAAGGTTCAAATTTGAAATACATGTATATCCATGAATCCATCACCACAATCAAGATGCTAACCCTGTCCATCATGACCAATTAGATAAATGAAACCAGAAAGTATGTATATTTTGGGTGTTGCTTTTTTCATTCAGTGTAAATAACTATTTGACATTCATTCGTATTGTATCAAGAGTTCATTTCTTCTTACCGTTGACTAATAGTTTATTTTAATGGCTATACTATAATTTATGATTTCACCTGTTGATAGACATTTGGATTTTTCTAATATCTGGTTTCACAGAACTGTTAAAAAGATTTTTGTGCATGTCTTTGTATGGACATACACTTTGATTTCTCAGGTAAATACCTTTGGAATGGAATAACTGACTCAGAAGGCAAATGTATGTTTTATCATTTTAAGAAACTGCCAGGAGGGATAAAGGGGGGAGGTAAGAAAGGGGGCATTACAATTAGCATGCATAATGTAGGGGGGGTCACAGGGAGGGTTGTGCAACATAGAGAAGACAAGTAGTGATTCTACAGCATCTTACTACATTGATGGACAGTGACTGCAATGGGGTATGTGGGGGGAACTTGGTAGTGGGGGGAGTTTAGTAAACATAATGTTCCTCATGTAATTGTACATTAATGATACCAAAATTAAAAAAAAAAAAGAAACTGCCAAACTGCTTTCCAAAGTGGTTGTACCATTTTACTCTTCTACCAGCAGTATATGAGGGTTTCAGCTCCGCTGCATCCTTGGTATAGTTATAGCTCTTGTATTTAGGTCTTTAATCCATTTTGAGTAAGTTTTTATATGTGGTGTAAGGTAAAGGTCCACCTTCATTCTTTTGCGTATAGATACATTGAAAAGACTGTTCTTTTTCCACTGAATGCTCTGGGCACCCTTGTTGAGAATATTTAACTGTATATGTAAGGATTATGTCTGGTCTCGCTATTCTACTGCATTGGTCTGTATGTCAGTCTTTATACCATAGCACACTGTTTTGAGTACTGTAGCTCTGTAGTAAGTCTAAAAGTTAGGAAGTGTGAGACTTCCAACTGTGATTTTTTTCAAGATTGTTCTGGTGATTCTGTGTCCCTTGAGGTTTCATATGAACTTTAGGATGGGTTTTTCTATTTCTGCAGCAGCAGCACTGGGATTTTGGTAAGGGGTTGCATGGAATCTATAGATTGCTTTGGCTAGTATGGACATCTTAACAGTATTATATCTTACAGTCCATGAACACAGAATGTTTTTCTTTTTTTCTTTGTCTTCTTAATTTCTTTCAGCAACATTTTACAATTTTCAGTGTACAAGTCTTTTGTCTCTTTTGTTAAGTTCATTTCTATTTTCTTTATGCTATTGTAACCAGAATTATTTCCTTAATTTCCTTTTTGAGTTATTCATACACAACTGATTTTTGTGGGTTGATTTTGTGTCTTACTATTTTGACTAATTTATAAGTTCTAACAATTATTTTTGTGGAATCTAGAGTTTTCTAGATATTGTCTGTGAACAGAGATGATTTTACTTTTTCTTTTATACTTTGAATGCCTTTTCTTCTTTTGTGCAATTGCTCTGGCTAGAACTTCGAATACTACATTGACCAGAAGAGGCAAAAACAGATATTCTTGTCTTGTTTTTGATCTTAGAGGATAAGTTTCAGTCTTTTGTCACTGAGTATGATGTTAGCTGTGGGTTTTTTATATATGCCCTTTATTATGTTGAGGTAGTTTCCTTCGAGTTTATTGAGTGTTTTTATCATGAAGAAGTGTTGAGTTTCCCACATTGAGATGATCATAAGTCTTTTTCCTTAATTCTGTTAGTGTGGTATATTACATTTATTGATTGTGTATGTTAAACTAAACCATCCTTACATTGCAGGGATAAATCATACTTGGTCATGGTATATGATCTTTTAATGTACTGCTGAATTCTGTTTTCTGGTGTCTAGTTGAGAATTTTTCCATCTGTGTTCATCAGGGATATTGGCCTGTAGTTTTCTTTTTTTTTTATGGTGTTCTCATCTGACTTTGATATCAGGATAGTGCTGACATCCTAAAATGAGTTTGGAAGTATTTCCCTCCTCTTCAGTGTTTTGGAAGACTTTTAGAAGGATTGACATTAATTCGTCTTTGAATGTTTGGTAAAATTCACCAATGAAACTATCTGGTACTGGATATTTCTTTGTTAGGAGCTTTTTTATTACTGATTCAGTCTCCTTACTAGTTATTGGCCTATTCACATATTCTGTTTTTCATGATTCAATCTCAGTAAGTTGTGTCTTTCCAGGATCGAATTTCCTTTTATTTCTTTTTAAACCCATGGGTTATTTGGAAGTATGTCACTTAGTTCCTAATATTTGGAAATCTTTCCAGAGGTCTTTCTGTTATTGATTTCTAATTTATTTCTCATTTTATCAGGGAACCTTCTTTGTATGACTTTGAGCTCTTCTAAGTTTTTAAGTTGAGCATTGTTTTAGTGACAGAAAATAGTCTGTGTTGGTAAATGGTCTATGTGCACTTGAAAAGAATATATATTCTGCTTTGCTGGAGTGTTCTGTAAATGTCCATCTTATCAAGTCAGTTGATTGCATTGTGTCTTTTATCTACTTTATAATTATCTGCCTACTTGTTTTCTTATATACTAAGAGAGAGACATGGAAATCTCTGACTAAAAAACTATTGCTTTTTTCAGTTTATCAGTTTCTGTCTTATGTACTTTAAGCTATTAGATGCATAAACATTTAGAATTGTTTATCCTTCTGATAAATTGGTCCCTTTATTATTATGAAATGATCTTCTTTGTCACTAGTAGTAGTATTTGCTCAGAAATCGAGTACTATCATGGTATATAGCTTTCTGATCCTTTTGCTTTTAACCTATTTTTGCCCTATATTTAAGATATATTTCTTGCAGGCAGCATGGCGTTGGGTCTTGTTCTTTTATCTAATCTGACAACTCTTTGAGCCCCTCAAGAGAAGACTGTACCATCAGTCTTCTCTTCCTTGAGCTAAATATCCTTTTATTATGGTTTGGCTGATACTTTTTCTAGATTCTTCACTATTATTATCAAACTCTTTTGTGCATGTTTGCTTAAAAGGGACATTAAATCATGAAGGTGCTTTGAGTTAGCCTCTGCAAGAAATGCTGACTATCGTCATGTACTGTCAGATGATTAGCATTGTCAACAAAAATCCGTATGTATCTGGTTTCTCACCATTGGGTTAAAACCAGTCTGGACCATCTGTTCCACTTTTCTTACCCTAATCATATTTTTATCTTGACCAACTACTGACTTTTTGATCTGCAGGTAAATTTCAAAAGAACATAACAGAAAATATATGCACTGTTCCTCTGAAAACACCAGTTCTCAGTTACACCAATTCTAGTTGAATTGTTTTGGGTGTGGGTCAGATGAATCTAGGATATAACTGAAAGGATATTAAAACATTTGCCCTTTTTTTCCAGGTAAAAATTTCTCCAACCTGTCATCCATCCAAAGGGGATCCTGCCATTAAGAAGGTGTGTGAGTTTTAAAGGCAAAAATCTAATTTCAACCTTCTCAGTGATTATTCTCCTGCACTAAATTATTTTCTCACAGTGACAATGATTTTTAAATATCTTAATGCTGTCAAAGGTACTTTCTGATTGGGTACCCTAATGATGTATTACCAGAAATCCTTGGCACTTCCAGAGAAGCCAAGTGGGGGTTTGAGCCTAGTGTCAGTCTCCTGGCAACTAAGAACTCTCACTGTTCAAGAATCCCCATCCTGTCTACCAGGCAGGCATCCTGGTATCAGTGAGTGGTAGGAGATTAAAGATATTCTAAGATGACAGCTATAGTTTTTCTTAATAGTACGTTCCCTCTAGATAGCTTTGCCTAAATAAAAGTTGCCTGAGATACTAACATTTCAACACATGCCATATAAGAAAGTCCTCAGTAAATATTGTGGGATAGAACTCTTATCTGTACCACTCCAATTTCTGGCTATAAACTTTGTGACACAGAAAGGATGAGAGTCTTTCAAGTGACCAATCCTAAAATGATATTAAGAGGACTACTAAAATCCTTTTCTTTATCCAGCTGCAACAGTACATTTGAAATGTGGTAAACAGATGGACATTATTGCTATATTTTCTTTTACAATTTTTACTTCTCTGATAGTTGAAGTGTCCATGGACATAGGTTTTCTTTCCTTGCCCTTTTTCACAATTTCAGTCAGCATCCATGTCAGTGAAGGATTGTAAAACAAAAATAACAACTTGCTAGCTCTGTTGACTGACACCAGGTTCTGTTATGCTGTAAAGCAATGTGCCAAAAATGGGTTCCTTTTCTCTGCCTTCAGAATCCCCTGAGATGTTTTCAAAAGAAAAAAAGAATAAAAACAAAGTATGTTATCTGAAAAGCCCTCTAACACATACCACACATGAAAATCTGTCTCACTCTTGACAAGACAGCAAGGGCAGGCAAGACTTAGGGCAGATTTGTTGCTTAGAATGGACATACTCTGTAACATGAGGAGCTAGAAAAGGCTTGAGTCATTTAGTCTCACTCAATAAACAAATGAGGAAACTGGAATCCAAAGGGAAATTTTTTGGCTAAGCTTTCACATGTTAGCTATGGAACATACTTCTAATGTAGAGGTTAAAAATGTGTGTCTTGTATTCAACCAAACTTCAGTTCAAAAATTGCCTCTTCTACTTACTTACCTGAATAACCTTGAGTAAGTCAACCTCTCTGTTTTCTCCACTGTAAAATGATGATGTTCCCTCTCAGAATTTTAATATATTAAACTAGTTAACCTAACACTGTGTTTCACCACATAGTAAATACTCGGTAAATTATTGGCACATAGTAACGACTAAACTGTTACTGAAACTAGTATTAAAACACAAGTCTCCCAACTTCTAATCAGACGTTAGCAAACTTCCAGGCAGCAAAGTCTCCCTCCGCATTCCAGGCAGCAAAATGTCTGATGCTGCTGGGCTGAGTGGGCAGGGTATTCGGGCAGGTGCATGGGGAAGTGCCTCAGGGCTGAGCTGCCAGCAAGGGGAATGCTGTGCTTGGAGCTCCCAAGAATGTCCAATTTATTGGGCCAGAGGAGGGCTGGAAAAGTGTCATCCACCTGCCCTTTCTCCTGAGGAAAGAGCTCTGTCCAACCCTCACCCCTCTGGCACCCTTCCCACTACTGGTAAATCTTTCAAACTGCTACCTCTGTGTTGGGTCTTGTCAGGACCAACAGAGCATGCCTGTCCTCCACAAGCCATTGGAGTCTCAGCCTCCCAGAGTGCTCCGACTCTCCATGGTGTCCAGCCCTGTTAATCACCAAAGCCTGATGCAGTGTGGACTTGTGTTCCCAGACCACATCTCCAGGGCAGGTGTGCAGAGCTCCTGAGCACTTATTCCCTCCCCTCTCAGCTCCTCTCCCATCACATCCTGACTGGGATGGGGGAAGGCTTGGGTCCCAATCAGTTGTGGGTCTGCCACTTTACCCTTTTCTGTGTGGTCTTCTCTTCTTTGCCAGGTGTAGATGGTCTGTTATAGTCTTCAGGTCGTTTTCAGTGTTAGCTGTATTTGCTGTAGTTGCTTCCCTTGTGTGTGTGGTGGGGAGGAGGCTTCCACTTTTCCTTCCTACTCTGCCATCTTTTTTTTCCCTCTCTGCAACCTATATTTTAAACTTGGTAATATCCCAGTTCTCTGTCATTTTAGGTGTCTGACCACTGTCAGAGATGTAGCAGCATTATTGGAGCAGAATTCCATTACTCTTGTGATCAGCATCAAAGAGAAACTTCCTGAGCCAATGACAGACACAGGTGGCCCCAGATATCATTCCTAAGTGATCACATGTAGACCTATTTTCTGTCCATGCAAAAATTGGGACTATCTTTAAAATACTTTATCAGCCTACTTATCTTGAATACCTTTCATTATAGCAATAGAAGTCAATTTCTAATATTTACCATTCTGATTAACAAGTCATTAATGTCACCAATAGTAAAATATCTGCTATTTTTTGATCTAACAAGCAAAGTCTTAGATTCTGGTCAATATATGAACAGGTAGTTGGCTTTTGGGAATATATGTTAGCTGGCAATCTCTAAAATATGGCTTGTTGGTTAGGGCTACTGACAATTGCTGAGTTAAAGCCTATACTAAATAGCCCTTATTTAATATCACACTGCCTATGGTAAATAACTTCATATATATATCATAACAGGTGCCTCTCCCAGACTAAGAGGTCAGGGGAGGATTCTCAGAGGAGGTAAAACTTGATCTAGGCTTGAAACACAAGGGAAGAGTTACACCAGGCAGACAAGAATGATCCATGCAGCACATTTCAGGAAATGGGGATGGTTCTGTTTGTCTTAAATATGGGATTGTGCAGAAGCCTGCTGAAATAAATGTGAGTCCAGTTCACAAAGAGCCCCCAAACTGTGAAGTTTATTTTTTATCTTGTGGATAAGAGTTTCTGTCAAAAGTGAGACTAGAAGTAGAAAGATCAGTTAGAAGAATAAGACAGTTGTCCAAGCAAGACAAAGGTCCAAAAACCTATGCTATGGAAATGGAATGGAGATGAGATACATTCAAGTCATAGATATTTTTTCTCTCCCAAAACCTGAAGTCTGAGTTAGGTATCCTTCCTTTTTTGAGCTCCCATAGCATCCTGAACTGGTCCTGCCAACATTCTTACCTAGCTGTGGTGGAATTGCCTCTTTACTTACATGTATCCCCCTGACTAGACTATATGCCAATGAGGGCAGAACCTACATCAGTTTTGTTTCCTGTTTTATCCCTAAGTGGAGAACAAAAGTCAGCCATAGTTGTTGAGTGAAAGAAAGAATATGAAGAAGTTTCTGGCCTGGATAAATAGAAAATGAACAAATGTAAACCTCATTGCTGTCCTGGCTTGTGTTCCCAGCAAGGTCAGGTCCTTAGCATTTGAGCTACATCAGCAACACTGAGTGAGATCAATGTAAAACTCAGCACCTAATTGTTACTTCCCTTGCTGGGTATGTATTTTTATGTGTGTATGTATATGTTGATCTACATATATATTGTGGTTATCATCTTGAAGCTGCTGTCTCTCTTCCCAAAGTTGCATTGACAGATGGAAGTCCCAGTAATGTCTGTTGAACAGTTACTGCCAAAGTGACGTGTGTAAGGAGCACAAAGGAGCAGTAATGTTCTTGAGTTGAGCCAGAGATTCTATGTTGACCAATAACTGAAGAAAGTGTTTGTTGACTCTGCTGTCAATATTGGCCCTGCAAAGAGCTGGATTCAAGTGCAAAGAGTAGAAGCTGTGTTCTATAGGGCTCTGCTTAACTTCTTGGGTAGTGTTCATGTAGGAGTTAAATATTCCACTCTGCTGCCACATGTCAATCTGGCAGATTCCATGAGCACACATAACAATTTTGCAACACAAACATTTTACATTTTAGGTATTCTTTTAGAAGCTCTGGATTAGAAATGTTTATTATATTTAATATATCTACATGTATAATTTGCATATAATATTTATCATACATATATAAAGTTTCTTAATGGGCTTAACCTAATAGCATCAATAAAGTTGGAAGATGCACATGCTTCTATATACATAGGACTTTTTCAGTGTTTGATTATGGATGGCCAGAAATTAAAGAATCAGGAAGTTTTTCCAGTAGATTAAAAAAAATTGCCATACAAGTCCATTTAATAGATTCCCTAAAATTGATCCAAATTGGAGGTGTTGACAGTATTTGAAATGGATTAAGGAGTTTAGAGAGGCAGTTGAAGGCAGCATCAAAAATCACTCAGCTTTAATGTGTCTCTTCTGAACTGTTAAGGAAACATTAGCCAGGAACTTGTGCAGCAAAGTTGGGATTGTTACATGTATAACAACCAGGGAAAGCAGGCTTTTTTTCCTTATATATTGGTCACAAAAGCGTGGTTACACTCTCTGAGCCATCCTTGTTAGATGAGCTTTCTCTGCTGTTGTTTGCAGAAGCTGAGGGCCAGGAACTCTGGCTGAATAGTATCCTCAGGCTGGTGGAACCCACTGGAAGAGTCCACAGTTGATGGTCCTCTCAGAGTGACTTCTTCCAGTTAGGGACAGGGTGCTGGGAGCAGAGTGGAAACCTTCTGATAGTTCTGGGTAAATTTATTAACTACTCAACAAGCCTCGAAGGTGCCAGGCCTTGGAAGGATACAGTGAAATATACTTCTTGCTTTCAACACATTTACAAGTTAACGGTGACTAAATTGGTGGATTTCTTAGGCAAACCTTTCAGAAATTGGTTGTCAGTTTCTCAAGTATTCAAGTATAAGAATTTGAAGCTGATTTTTTTGTCCAAAAAAATTTGTCCAAACAGTTTTGCTCGTGAGGTAAAATTGTTGTAGCCAGTTCCCAGCCTTGCCACTCATGTCAGGAATCTAGATGACTGTACATGCTCATAATTTTTATTGAATCACAGGGAATGGGTGTTTTTGTTGTTGTTTAAGGGAAAAAGCCTTGCAGAGATACTGTTTCCATAACAACAGG